AGCTCAGAAATAATTATACAGCTAGAAAAAATGTTAGAAATCAGCTACTGCAACACTGAACCTTCTGGAGGAGAAGAATGCAGACTGGAAAAGTTAACTGATGTGCTAGAGAGCAGCACAGTAGGATTAGGAAACAAATCTCCTGATTCCCATTCCTAAGTTATTCATACTGAGCAAAGAAGACTAAGAAAAGGGTAGCCTCGCCATGACTTATCTTGTTCTCACCTAGAAATTGTTGTGGTTTTCTCTTCATACAACCTCTTCTAAGATTCTCCACCACGGGAAAAGCAGACTGATCCACTGAGAAGCAGTATCATGGAGCCCAAGACCCACCAGGCTTTAGAGCCAGACCACTGGATATTCCAATGACTTCATCATCTGTGAGCCCATCATCTCAAGAAAATTACATATGTCTCCAGCTTCAGTTTCCTGGGACTAAAATTGGGCATGATAAGACCTACCATGTAGGAATGGCTATAGAATTTTGGGGAATATTGAAGATAATGTAAGTTAACTGTGTGACACAGTAGGTGCTCAAAAACGAGACCTATTATTATCAGCATATATTTGTCTCTAACTGATTTATCTGTTGACAGTCTTCTTAATTTTTTCATTCCTAAAATCATTGCACATGTAAGGAATCTCTACAGCACTTAACACAGCTACAAGTGCGTGCTAGCTGAAAAACTGATCATGAAATGTTTCAAACATGCAGAAAAATATGGAAAATAATAGAGCATCACCTACGTAAGTATCCATTAAAAATATAGTATTGCCTTATATGTTTTTAAGCTTTATATAAATGGTATCAAATTGTCCATATTATTCCATAGTGTCCATATTTGCTCCCCCCAGCATTGTTTTTGAAATTTATCCATGTTGATCTAGTTAGTAATTTTAAATGCTCTATAATATTTGATTGTATGAACATACCATATTTATGCATTCTCCTATTGATGGACGTTTAGGTTGGTTCCTGTTTTTCAGTATTACAAAAGACTATGGCAATAAACACCCTCCTCACACATGCCTTTTCGAGTATGTACGGGAAAGTATCTCTAGGGATTCACAAGATGTGCCCATCTTCAGCATTGCCAAATTGCATTCCAAAGTGGTTGCTATGATAGTGTTCTGTTGTTAGTGGGTTTTTTTTTTTTGTTTTGTTTTTTACTTTTTTTTAAAGGATCTTTCATTACTGAGACATAATTTATAAACCAAAATTACCCATTGAAGCATAGAATTCAATGGTTTTTAGTACATTCACAGAGTGTGTAACCATCACCACAATATAATTTCAGGGCATTTTCATGTGGTACTGTTTTATTAATAAATATAGTTAAGAAGTCTAAAGCTGGTTATGTGTCCTGTTCAATGTATAAATGGAAATCCCCTGGGAGGAGCTGGTTAGTAGAGATTCCTTGGCCTAAAACCTGTTGTTTGAGTAAGGAGCTCAAAAGAACATTCCTTATTAGCTCGTGAAGCTGCATGCATGGTTACTGTTATTTGCTAATAAAAGCACTACTATTTATTCACCTCAGAGTAAAATGACTCAGAACTAACTCATATTTGACAAGAATGGGAGGAGCACTATCTCAAATACAGGAGTTATTTTCCTCCAGAACAATTCTTGCTTATGCCAGAAAGGAAGAGAAATGTGAACAAGTATAGATGTTGGAGTAAACAGTTGTGAGAGTGAGTCCGCTGGCAAAGGAGAAGAAAGAGCATTTGTCTTCCCCCCCACCACCCCAAGTTAATTTAGTGAGTTTTGGGGAAATAATTTTCATAATCTGAGTTTTTAATTAATGGCACTTTAAAGTACTACCTACCCTAACTCAAACCATGTTTTAATTGATAGTAAGGATTGCCAAATATGATCTAGAATAAAAATTTATATAAGGATATTGTCTTATCCAGCGACTAATGTTCAAAATCTAATAAGTTTTCTACTTGAATCTCATAAGGAACATTAGATTTATGGACAACAACATTTACCATCTGTAACTCCTATATTAGTTAGTCCTTTAAGTCACTGGCTGGACAACATCAGTTTTCAGATGCTGTGTTTCATTTCATGAAGTGCTTGACACCTATCTGCGATTTCCTCCTTGCCCCTCAGACCACCCTGCAAATACAAAGGGTGCATTCATGTTCTGCAGCACCCAGCAGGTGCCATAAGACTGGCCAATGTGAGGCTGTGAAGAGGAGGAAAGGCACAGACACAGTGCTGTCTTCCCAGGGCAAACACACTAACTCCCACCTCACCAGCAACACAGTCATAGAAACAGCTCCTTACAAGCTGCGGGCCAACCCCACCTTGGCCATATGTCAACAAGCTTTACCTAAAGTGGGAAACAGCCTTACTCAACAGTGAAGTATGACACGTGGTTTCTTGCCCTGCACTGAAACGACTCTGCTAAGTTGGATATTTATACTGACAGCCCCTAAATCCTTGGCAATTGGGGCCCCAACTCAGATTTTCCCACAATGAGCCTGTGAAAGTGGCTTTTCTGCTTTGACCTCTTTCTTACAGGGTCCTCTGTGAGCAGAGAGATGGCTTGGCAAAGTTTTGTCTATGTATGAATTTAGTATTCACTACCCTGAGATGTTTGAGCTTTTTCAGGCTTTGAAATAATCCCCACAATCAGCAACCAGGCTTGTCATTTAGGGATGAGCTGTAGAGGATGAGAATACAGAGGGGACTCTTCTCTGTAATTAGTTGTGTCACACCCTACACAGTGAGGCCTGAGGCCTAAAGGAGGTTTTGCCCACCCCAAGGCCCAGCTAATGACTTCGGATCTGCACAGACGAACGATGACAGGCTGAAGTGGAAAACAGCCCTAACTTGTACCGGAAAAGATTAACCTCTGTGCAAGCAAGCCGTAGAACTTAGGGTAGAAACCAAGGAAAGAAAGGAGAAAACAGATTAATTTTTATCTCATTGTGCCCCACCCATCCTCCCTCCAGGGGGTGCCTTCTAACTGAACTTCATCCAGCCTATATTCCCAGATGAGGCAAAATTATCTGAGAATGCTGAGCCCCAGAAAGGGCTGAGTTAATGGATTTTCAACCTTCAAAATCAAATGTACACAAAATCAAGATAAGAATCCACTGCTTCTGAGTGTATAGAGCAACAAAACACAGCTGAAGGCATCCACATGGGAGCCATTCCCCTGAACTTAGACTCCGCATTCCTGTTTTCTAGTTTATGACCAATTTCTTGTTAGAGTCCCAGGGCCATGCTCTTGCATCCTCCCTGCCACTGGCTCCCCACATACCCACACCCACCATCACAGCTCACGCATCTCTTGCTGATCAGGGGCCCCTCTCACCCTTCAGTGCCCTGGTAGGAACTGGACTGTGTAAGGCTGGGCAATGTGAGACTGAAAATGAGGCCCAACATCTTTCTTTTCCTTTGTTTAAAATCTATTTCCTCCAAAGAGTTGCAAGTTTCCTAGAATGGGACTGTGAGTAGTTATAAATTCCTATTTGCCCTCTCCCCCAACTCATGTTGCAGATTAAATGTGTGCAGGTAGCAATAATGGCAACTATGTGTGAGGCACTATTTGAGTGCTTCACATGTATTATCTCATTTAATTCTCACAGTAACATTTTCAGGGAGGTATTACTATTATTATCTTTATTTTTAGATGAGAACACTGAGACACAGAAAGGTTTAAGTGTCTTGCTTAAGATCAAATTATAGAGGACAGAGCTGGGATTTAAAACCAGGTACTCTGACTCCATGAACCCTGGGTGGTGCAAATGGTTAAGCACTCAATAGCTCAGATCTACCCAGCGGCGCCTCAGGTAAAAGGCCTGGTGATCTACTTCTGAAAGATCACAGCCACTGAAACCCTATAGAGAGCAGTTCTACTCTGATACACATGGGTCACTGTTATGGATTGAATTGTGTCCCCCCAAAATGTGTGTCAACTTGGCTAGGCCATGATTCCCAGTATTGTGTGATTGTCCACCATTTTGTCATCTGATGTGATTTTCTTATGTGTTGTAAATCCTATCTCTATGATGTTAATGCGATGGGATTACTGGAAGTTAATGAGGCAGGACACAATCTACAAGATTAGACTGTGTCTTAAGCCAATCTCTTTTGAGATATAAAATAGAGACGCAAGCAGAGAGACAGGGAGACCTCATACCACCAAGAAAGCTGTGCCAGGAGCAGACCGCATCCTTTGGACCTGGGGTTCCTGAACTGAGAAGCTCCTAGTCCAGGGGAAGATTGATGATAAGGAACTTCCTCTAGAGCCGAGAGAGAGAGAAAACCTTCCTCTGGAGCTGGCGCCCTGAATTCGGACTTCTAGCCTCATAGACTCTGAGAGAACAAATTTCTCTTTGTTAAAGCCATCCACTTGTGGTATTTCTGTTATAGCAGCACTAGATAACTAAGACAGTCATCACGAATTGGAATTGACTCAATGGCAATTGATTTTTGTTTTGGTTTGGTTTGGTTTTGAAGTCTGACTCCACAGCAGTGGCACTGGGCAGGGAGGTTTCAGTGGAAGAAGTCCACCCTGAGTGCAGGTGGAGAGAATTTAAAAATAATAATAAAACCCACTATAAGTCAGACTATAAGCTGGCTTTTTATTATCACCATGTATCAACAATTTTAAATAATGCAAAGATAAAAATATTTTTTATCCACTGGGCAGACCATTACCAGCATGTTATGCTGGACACTGTCGTGTCTATATGTGGGGCCCATATTGTAGCAGCCATGGTACAACTCTGAGGGGCACTCAACTGAAACACCAAGGATGGCAGAGCAAGAAGATGCGAAAACCTGGGTGCCACCATACCTTGGGTGACCTGTTCAATTAGATAACAAATTTACCTTGTCGTTTAGGCCACGTGGCATTGGATTTGTTTCTTACAGCTGAAAGCATTCTAACCAATACATAAGGCATAACTCAGATTCTTCTGTGTGTAGCTTCAGATGGGCATTAATGCCCACAGAGTACTCAACATGGAAACTCCTCAGCTTGTGGCACATTTCCCCATGTTTATGTATCTAGATCTATATATGTGGACATACATACACACACACACAACACAGCATTAAGCCCACACCTTTACCTCTTTCCATCTTGTTTCACTATTTTGATAATACCTTGTTACAACTGTTAATTGCAACATATAGTTATTCAGCATTATTCAGTTTCTTCATTAAAAAAAATACTGAATTCTAAATCAGATGAGACATTGTGCCTGATGCTCTATGAAGGAGTACAGGTTGATCCTTCTTTTCAAAACACTTTTCCATAATCTTCATTGGAAACCAGGCAGTGGTAAGATTCTCGCCTTCCATGCAGGAGACCCAGATTCGATTTCTGGCCAGTGCGCCTCATGCCACCACTCATCTGTCAGTGAAAGCTTGCGTGTTGCTATGATGCTGAATAGGTTTCAGCGGAGCTTCGGAACTAAGAAGAAAGGCCTGGTGATCTACTAATCTTCACTGGAGTTAGAAATCAAGTTTAGTCAAAGGTAAAGAATAAAAACATTTATTTTACAAATACCATCCATCATCAATTGCTCCAAGTTTGGCAGGAATGAAGAGTGGGTGGTTAATGTTTCATTAGTACATGAAATTTGAGATATAAGAAACATTATGGCAAAAAAAAAGAATACTTATTATTTAAAACTGAAAAAGAAAAATGAGTAGTAAGACACTATGATAGAGACTTTAGGTCAAGAAAATGTCACCGTGCAATGAAAACAATCTCCTTTAATAAGTACTAATACAGTCGGAGGTTTGACTTGTAGGGTTATTGGAAAGTATTCCTCATGGAACATTTTGACTCATGGCTCTTTGTGTGACCAGACCCCATAATCAGACCCTGCTGCCGTCAAGCTGATTCCGACTCATAGTGACGCTGCAGGACAGAACAGAACTGCCCTATACGGTTTCCAAAGAGCGGCTGGTGGATTCAAACTGCCGACCTTTTGGTTAACATCTGTAGCTCTTAACCACTGCACTACCAGGGCTCAAAACCAAACCCGTTGCGGATAAAGAGAAGGGATAAGGAGAAAGAAAAATTAGGCAGAATGTCTTCATTCAAAGGTCTCTATAAAAAAGTATTTTAAAAACCCTGAGTAAACATGTATTATAATTCTTTTCTGTCACTAGAAAAGTATAATAGACTGGACTTAAAATCAATTAAGCTGTAAACATATAAAACTATTCTTTAATTATAAGTATATATAAAGCCTCCTGCAATTATTTTACTATATGTCACATTATAAAATGCTATCTTTCCTACCTGACCCTTTTCTGGTTTCTAGTTTTTCACATTCTGTGGGAGGACAAAGGCTCTTAGATCCATCAATCCAACCCTTTCATTTCACTGATAAAGGAAGGAAACTGGCTTGCCCACAGTCACACTCATCCTCCATGGCAGTTTGGATTAGAACCAGGTCTCCTGACTCCCCGTGGGGTGTTATTCCAGTTATGACATAATGTGACTCACACTCCACCTGTCCCCAATTTGTGCTTGATATTGTTCCCTCAATATCAGACAGACAGCAGGAGTGGGGGTGGGGGAGGATAGTTCTGTTTGGGGTCTCTCTGGCTTATTACAGTCTGAGGCACTAGAGGAGGTGATAAAATACATCTCCTACAACCATCCAAAGTCTTTAAAAAATACTCCACAAAACATACTACCTATCCAGCTACTCTGAACACCCAGACAAAAAATATTTCCTGGGTAGAGCACTGTGTGTGTGAGAGATACTTTTTAAAGGCTGTGATGGAGAGGTTATTGATTTTAATGGAGAACATCTGGCCAATCATACCCAATCATACATCTTTCAGAAGCTCTGCAAATAAAGCCCTAGTTACAGCGACTAAGTTGGAGCACTCCAGGCTTCAGGGGACATCTCAACACCACTCCATGGAGTCTCTAACCACCATGCTATCAAATGGGCTGCTAATCAATGGTGGGCATTGCCTCCAAATGTGCAAATTCCAGCAGAAAGGAAACATTTTTGACTACATTCTTTTAAAAACTCCCACCATGCTCATCCCTACTTCTACTTCACATATATCAGCACTCAACGTTCTAAATCTTCTTTTCCTGCAATCCATATTTCTTGGTGACAATAATGGGAATGCTTTACGATAACATTTGTAAGAAGTGCCTCTAGACAGAAGGTGGTAAGATCTCTTGGGCCATTTTCATCTGTGTCCTTTGAGAAGAACAAAATTCAGAAAATGGAAGCATTTTTAAAATGCCTATCACAAATGTTTTTGTCCAGGGTTCAATACAAGAAATATAAATTGAGAATACCCTTTGTCACATCCACAAACTAGGAAAACCATAAAAGTTCTTGAAACTCTGACAGTCTTGAGTTTATCAAATCATCAAAAAGTACTACATTTCCACAGTGCCTGGAATCTTAAAAGCCAGAAGCCACCCCAGCTACAATAATTGGTCTCTATTTGCCTGGAGCAGTAGAAGATGGGGAACCAGGAATTGGAGAAAGAAATGGACTGCAGATCTAATTGCCTTCATGAATTACTACCTCCTTTGCCATGAGAGCACAAGAAATGATTGGTGCCCAGTTACCATTACTAAACATTTTGTTCAAGAACCCAATAGATGGATCCTGATCAAAAGGAGGAAAAATGTGGAACAGAACATCAAATTCTTATGGAAACCAGACTTACTGCATCCACTGAAACTGGGGAAACCCCTGAACATATTGTCCTGAAATAATCTGTAAACCTTGAACCAAAAATATCCCATGAAGTCATCTGTAAACAAAACAACAGTTTAGCTCAGTTAAAAAACGTCAGCCTTGAACATTGTACTCTTAAAGAATTATCTATGTAAGAGCAAACTGACAACAGTAATGCTAAAATACAGATGAGAACTTTAAACGGCAAAGAGAGTAAAAGTTAATGATAGTGAAACAATATGGGTAGAGATAGTGAGAATGGTGATACAATGTGAAGAATGTAACCAATGGCACTGATCTGTGCATATAGAAATTTTTGAACGGGTGTATGTTTTGTTATATCTATTTTCTCCAAAAATAAAAAATATAGTTAAAAAAGTACTACTTTTCCATAGGTTGTCCTGCAGAAATTTCTGTCCTTTGTGCCATTAGTTTCTGTAAGAATAAGGCTCTCTTTTATTTAAAAATTTCCTTGAAATTGCTTTCTCAAGTGAAGCCAAGTCATTTATTTTACAAGAGCCAGCCATGTGTTCTGCATTTTGTCTCAGTCAATAAATTGCCTTTAGGCTATATTTCTTGTCTCTCTCCATATAGTTTGTTGTGTCTTATACACAGACTCCTGAAAAATTCTTTCTACTTGAGTATGAAAGCCACGACTTCCTTCCTCTAGGGCATTGATGGTTCGCAGAGCAAAGGGAGTCCTTTCTCGGGGAAGGGGATTGCTCAGGGGCCGCATGGGTATAACAGAGTTGTATTTGTGCTGCCTGTTGACAGAGTTCATCAGGGATGAATAGAACTGGAACTTACACCAGGTATCTCTCAAAAAGTTTTCCGTCAATAATAAGATTGTCCATGCAGACCCATTTACAGCATCATCTAAATTCTGTAAATGCTGTCTGCCACATGGCATCTCAGCAAAGATTATTCCAGGTTTGATACCAAAGTCATCTTGTAGCAGATTCTGGACCCTGAGGGCTTCATTTATGTCGCTTTCCGCATGCAGTATCACAAATTTGAAGAACACTTCTTCTTCTTCTGCTTCCTCTTCAGGTATTTCTTCCACGTGCTCCTGCTCTCCTGCTGGCTCTTCTGTTATATTGCTATGTTCAGCCTGATCATTCAGGGAGAGTTTTTCTGATTTCTTGGACTCTGATTCATGATGTCTTGGTCTTGTCTTCACACTGTGGCTTTTGCCCAAAGAGAAAGAAAGAGGGTAGTGATCTGTTTTAGACTTCCCAATACCCATTATAAATACTGAAGTCGGAAGAGAAGAGCTTTACTTATTCCTCGGCATTTCTTTTCATTCTAAAAAAAGAAGTAACAAAGCAAATGAATATTGTAAATTTAATCCAAACATTAAATAAAATGAATGGCGATTGTTGTACAACATGGTAAATGTAGTTAATGTCAATTGTACATGTAAAAATAGTTGAAATGTTTTGTTACTTATATTTTGCATCATGAAAGTCAAACAAAAGACATTAAAAATGGAAATTTTCATTCAACCTGAAAATATTCAAACACAGTATAATATGTAGGTCCTAAGAAAGAAATGCCAAATAGATCACTGGAAAAGTAAATTACTTGTCCTTTGTGAGCCTCACAAGGGCTACCACAGGCAGTCGAGGGTCAGTTAAATAACGGGTCCAGTTTAATATAACAGGAGATATTTGGAAATTTTAAATGTTATTATATTAACACTATAAACCTCCAAATTAAAAATATTTTGGTATTTTGGTGAAAATGTACCATCATACTTCTTCTGTGTGACATTTAAATCCAATTTCTCCATTATCTAATGATTGTGTAGACTAGAAAGGGGAACTAAAGAAACCAAACATTCAAATAGATACAAAATTTATTTTTGTAGCAAATGCAAATACAAAACAGCATACCAGTATCTCAGAGATGGCTAGCAGCAGCTCTACTGACTCAGCATAAAGAGATCTGAAATGTCAAATGAGATGATATCCAGGAGTCGCTAGTTCAGAGCTTGTTTGTTCATTTGTTTGGGGTCAGGCAGTGTGGTTTGGGTGGGGCTAATGAAGAAGAAATTGTAATAAGCATGTGTGAAAAGTAAAGAATATATTTTTCCAGCTAATCTTGGAAATACTGACGAAAATATACTTACTCACTTAGGGAAAAATTAATATTTTGGTTTGGAAGTGAAATCTGAAACAAAGACTTGTGATTTTCTCCAAAGAAATCAACAAAGAATGATTATATCTATACTCACTCATCCTTTTATTTTAAAATTTTCAAACCATAAGTGGAAGATTTAGATCAGCTATGAAGAAAAGTACTCATGTAAATCTAATTTAAATAACCCTTCGGAGAATGTTAGCAATGTCACCAATAATACATTTTGTTACCCTTGCCCCCTAAAAAATACCCTACCCTGATGGCGTAGTGGTTAAGAGCTCAGGCTGCTAACCAAAAGGTTGGCAGTTTGAATCCACCAAGTGCTCCTTGAAAACCCTACGGGGCAGTTCTACTCTGTCCTACAGGGTTGCTATGAGTTGGAACAGACTCAATGACAGAGGGTTTGGTATGGTTTGGTTGCCATTGAGTCCATCCCAACCCAGGCTGACCCATGTGTGTCAGAGTAGCACTGCACTCTGTATGGTTTTCAATGGCTGTAATCTTACGGAAGTAGATCGCCAGGCCTTTCTTCTGTGGTGCCACTGGGTGGATTTGAACTGCCAACCTTTCTGTTAGTAACTCAGCACAAACCATTTGTACCACCCAGGGAAGCTTACCCACCAAATGAGCCATTTTCAAGGGGGGTTCTTTTTATCAAAAGACAGAAAATTTAGAATAAATAAATATAGGTTCCATGTTTTCAATATGAGTCTATAAGTCTATATTTTAGAGTATTTTTATTTATTATTTATGAGCAAAGATCAGAGTTCACGAAGAAATAATTATCATTTATAATAACTTATAAATAACCATGGTTTAAAAATGACATATTGCATTGGGAAAATCTGCTGCAAAACACCTCTTTAATGTGTTAAAAAGCAAAGATGTCACCTTGAGGACTAAGGTGCGCGTGACCCAAGCCATGGTATTTTCAACTGCTTCATATGCATGCAAAAGCTGTATAATGAATAAGGAAGACTGAAGAAGAATTGATGTCTTTGAATTATGGTCTTGGTGAAGAATTTTGAATACTCCATGCACTGCCAGAAGAATTGAACAAATCTGTCTTGGAAGAAGTACAGCCAGGATACTCCTTAGAAGCAAGAATGGCAAAATTTTGTCTCACATACTTTGGACATGTTATCAGGAGGCGCCAGTGCCTGGAGAAGGACATTGTGCTTGGTTAAGGACAGGGTCAGTGAAAAAGAGGAAGACCCTCAGTAAGATGGACTGACACAGTGCCTTCAACAATGGGCTCAAGCATAGCAATGATTGTGAGGATGGAGCAGGACTGGGCAGTGTTTGGTTCTGTTGTTCGTGGTGTCGCTATGAGTTGGAACTGACTTGACAGCAGCTCACAACAACAACATGCCTAAGTCATTCAGGTTTAGGAAGCTGTTGATCAAAGTGGTTATAAAACTGTTAACGGGAAGACTAGATACGGAAAAATATGTAAAGAAAGAAAGGTTTGCCACTGCCTCTGAATAGTAAAGGAATTGCTAGCCACTGTCTGTCATTCATTATGTCAGTACTTTAGTTCTATTTCGACTATATAATGTGTTAGTTACCAAGAGGTATTCTAAGGCATAATAACTCTAAAATGCACTTATATGCATCCCAAATGATAAAACCAAATTAATCCGAACTCTCTTCATTGATGGCCATTTGGTTAGGATTAACTGCTGACCTTTGTTACTGCACTGTGAGAAAAGGTTTTTGCCATGCCTTCCCTGCGTAAGAAAACAATTGTTAAACCATTCAGAGGCATCTACTTACCATGGGTTTCAATTTAAATTATCTTCATTTATTCATTGAAATAGGTTTGTTAAACCAGTTTAGCATCATTTGATCACTAGCTGGTGCAGATAAGTGCACTTGAAGTAACATAACACATATTCATAAAAATTGTCAAGAACTTCTAGGGTAAAATTGTGTATCAAGCCAGATCACAGAATCTTTTGAAATAAAAATAAGCCAAAAAAATGCACAACTTTGTGTCTTATTTTTCTTAAATATCAGTCAGCAAAAATGAGCAACAGATTCCAGAAGTCTATGATGTGTTGTTCCAACTTCCAAGCACTCCTACCCACACAGTCCCTAATCAGATCAGAGGAAAGAAAGTTGGTGACAGTGACTGAAAAACCTCACTATAACCCTCTAATCTGGAGGGACAGAGTAAGGAGATAGCTGAGGGAAAAAGATGTGGAAAACCCTGCGCTAGAGTATTCCCAGAGGTGGGAAAATGGCCAGGGTTCATTACTGCCGTGCTCGGGGCTGAGAGGAGGTAACAGGACCTGTGGAAAGATCAAGCTCACTCCAAGTCAATAACTCCATCAAAAAGAATGCTTTCCTAGAACAGAAGAAAGGCGTGCAATGTGGAAGGAAGGTTGTAGGGGTGGGGCACAAAAAGAATACAGAAAGCCTACTTCCTTCCGCACTGCATGCCTTTCTTCTGTTCTAGTAAAGCACTCTTTATTGATGGAGTTATTGAGTCTTCCACCTCCATCAGGAACAGCCAGCACCAGGGTTAAAACATTTAGATTTTATCTCCTTCCCCTCAGCTAAATGGGAGGAGGAGACTGAGGGTGGCAGCTGGGAAAAGGCACGGGAGGTTCACGGGAATTGAAACGTGTGTGTTTCTATACAATTTCACTTACTTTTTTTAGAAACAATAATGGTTGAAACACCTAATGACTTTGAAAAGGTTTATATTGAAAAGTCTCACTCTCACATACATATATACGCCGAACAGCAGTATCTGTGTATACATAGCTGTGTTGTTGTTAGTTGCTATGAGTAGAGTCTGACTCATAGTAACCCAGTGTGCAGAGTAGAACTGCTCCATAGGGTTTTCAAGGCTGTGACAGTTCAGAAGCAGATTGCTAGGCCTGTTTTTCAAGGAGCCTCTGGGTGGGTTCAAACCTCCAACCTTTCATTTAGTAGTCTCCGCTTAACCATTAGTGACACCTAGGGACCCTAGAGATAGATATAGGTAGATAGATATAAATATAGATATACATTGCTTTTCCCCTTAATACTATATCCTCAGAGCTTTTCATATTAGCACGTAGAGAACTCCCTCACTCTTATCTGCAATGGCCTTATCTTCCTGAGCAGTCACTGGGTGGGGCAAACGGTTAATACGCTTGGCTGCTAACCAAAAGGCTGGGGGTTTGAGTCCACCCAGAGGTACCTCAGAAGAAAGGCCTGGTGATCTACTTCTGAAAAATCAGCCATTGAAAACGGTTCCACTCTGACACAAATGGGGTCGCCATTAGTCAGAATTGACTCTATGGCAACTGGTACTAGCACTAGTATGGGTACACTATAATCTCCCCTGTTCTTGGATATATGAGTTTCTTTCCAGTCTACCACTATTATAAACAATGTTGCAGTGAATAACTTTGTATAAAAGTCATTTCATATGTGTACAAGTTCATTTGTATACTAATTCCCCCAAATGAGATTTTTTTATCAAAGGAAAAATGCATTTGTAGTACTGATAGATTTGACCAAATTGCCCTCTGTAGGTATGAACCATTTTGTTGCTTTTAACTTGATAGAATACTGCCACCCCTCACCCCTTGTCCCTAGAAAAGAGCTAAGGCAAAAGCTACCAACTGCTATTGGCCACAGCCCACCTGAACAATTCACCTCCCCTCAGACAACAGAAATGTGGAAAAATATAACCCATCCTAATGGAGCCCTTAAACTGAAGTTCTGAAGGAAGATCAACAAGTCTGAGATAAGAAGAAAGGAGAGTCCAGGATTTATCCACTTTATAGCTAGTCAAAAGGGGGCTCTGATAAAATTCACACATTAAGTGGGAATAAGGTGAAAACAATATGGCAAATATGCCATGGCAAGTATGCAAAAATATTATGAAAAATAAAAGGAACAAATGGAAGAAACATAGCATGCAAAGAACAAATAAAAAATTCCATTTTCATTAAGATTATGTGCTCTGGAATCAGACTGCCTGAGTGCAAATCCCAGCCCGGCTATAAAATAACTGTGTGACTTTGAACATGTTACTCAATATCTTTGTGCTTTGATTTCACCATCTGTAAAATGATAGTTATAACAGTACCTACCTTTAGTGTTTTTATGAGGATTAAAAGGGCTTAGAGCAGTGCCTGGCATATAGTACATGTTCAATAAAT